AGAACAGTTGAGTTGTGATTGTTTAGTGCTTAGCGCACAGCATGACATGTTCAGATCACATCTTCGCATTGTTTATGGTTATGGGCGAATGTGATTTGTTTTTTTTTTTTTCCTTTGCTGTTGCAGCCGCTGATGTGGCGCGATAGACATGGTTAAGCCCAATCGCGCCCGTTTTGCGGTGATGGTAAGATTGTTTTATTTTTTTATTTTTGATTTGTTATTCACTCAAACTGCACATATTTTTATGTTGCATTGCGCAAAGCACTCTTCGGTTAACATTCGAATTGAATGCACTCGAGTAGTTGAAAAGATGGCGTGGAGTTCAGCATTGCTACATTGTATCTACATAATTGTATTGGCATGCGAAAAGTCATAAAGTCAACCTCATCAAATCAGTTTAATAGTTGGCAGTTGGAATTTATGTTTATATTAGAATTCATTTACTGCACTGCATACGTAGAGTCAGACTTTTTTCGCTTTCCGTAAATCATACAGCACTTGAAATGTGAACAAAAATTACGCATACGACGTGGGGCATCAACTTCTTGAATATATGTATGTATGTATTGGCATTCACTTTAAAGTCATACCCTACAGTCGCAGGTGGCTTTGAAATGATGGTGCTATTCGTATTGTTGCCAAGTGTTTGATATCCTAAACTGTCCAAATTCGATGAATCTAGTTTTTACTTTATACCCTTCAGCACTAAAATATTCTAGGGAATTTTCAAAAAATTCAAAAATAACGATGTGAAATATTTTTACCTTTTTTGCTTATTCCATTATTAAATGTTTTGATTTTCGAGCAAATTTTCAATTTCAAAACAGTTTTTTAAATCGCTTTGTCCTAATCTAGAAATTTAAATATTCTGTAAATTTTCAAATAGGTGGCAACCTGTTTTTAAAATTTTTTACCACAAACCTACAGAAAACATCGAGTAGAATGCAAAATAAAATTAAACAAATTCATTGAAAACAAGATCCGTAAAATAGCCAATTTATGTAAGGTAAATTTATTGCTTTTGACAAACTAGTAAAATTCTAAAGTTAACTAAGCATCATAGTTTAATTTTTGGAAGTTTTCTGACGCGAAATATCCTTTTTCGATCAAACAGTTTTTATTTTTAATGGTTTTTAGCTAGTATATGAAAAAATGTATTTTCTCCATGTAAAATGCATTGAAAACTGCAAAGCCCTGGCCGCACGCTTAAATATTAACTGATTTGAAGATAAGAAATACGCGCTTCTTTTTCTCCCATTCATCCCATTCTGGATGGTCACAGCAGAAAAATTCCAAAAAAATGTATTTTCCTGTGTGTTTTTGACCACCCTAATGTGCATATGTACTTAATATATGCATGTATGTATTTATGTTTTTGCATTGTATCCAAATCAAATCTTTTAGCCACATTTTATTCAAAATTCCAAACTTTTATTCGCATTTCATGAACGGTATAAAACCTTCAGTACAATCAAAAACAACCACTACCACACATTACCACATAAATATGCAATGCATCACTTAAATCAGCGATAATCAAATAAATGTCTCTGTGGCTTCAACAATGCAGATTTAATCGTTGATCCGCCTTTAAAACTTTTCGCAAATAATCACTTTCAATTTCAACAACGCATAATCGCTGAAACTAAATTTTAAAAGTCATGGCAGTGTAATATGCCAAGTGCTGACATAGCATAAAGGTACGCATATTTGCATATATACAAAAATACATATGTATGTATGTATTGACAGTAACAGATTTACACTTTTGTATGACTTCTTTTTGAAATGTTTATCATAACCAACAATTACCAAAAAGACATTGCAACCAAAGAGTAATGTGAAAAGCAGTTCATGCAGTAAAAAAAAATAAAATAATTCACTACTGCAATACCCCTCAATCCCACCCCTTTTTTAAGCAACATACATACAAATTATTTGCAGAGAAGTCCATTATTTAACTACTTACTGGTTCTGACAATACGAAGTTTAACCTATTAAGGCCTTTAAATAGAATGTGTTCATATAAGTTTTTAAACTAAAGCTTCATACTTTTTATAAAGATCCACTGCTATTTTGTTTTTGCAACTTTTTTTAGGTTTTATAAATATTTGCATTAAAACTGCTCTATATATTGCAACCCTCCCAACTTTAACTGTTTTAAAATAATTTCATAGCGCAGATGCTGCCTAAAGCTAAAAATCGTTGATAAACTTTTGTTCCTTAACAGAAATATAGACATACACTGGCGGTCATTATAATAGACCCGCCTTACTTTGAAGAGTTTTGGCTATATTTCCATGGTTTATTTTACGTTTTATGTTTATGTTTTTTATAAAAACCTGGCCAGCTATACAACAAACACCATATAAATCCCCTTTTCAAACTTTTTACAAAAATTTTAAGAATTCGACAAATTTTCACCAAATTTTGTTGATTTTTGACAATTTTTTTTTAGGCATTCTCTTCCATATAAGAAAATTGTCGTGCACACTTTGTATGCGAAAAAATTCGTGATACCGTCAGCAAAAAAAAATCTTAAAAGTCAACGGTATTTTGTAGCCACCGCTAAATCGGGTTTTTTTGCTATAATTTTCTTCTTTTATATCCGATTTTTAATATATTTATGTCGCTTAGGACTATAATTGGCCACTAAACTGTTTTGGCCTTCAAACCCGTTTTAACTTATACCTTCACTAATTTTCCAAAAATCTAAAGCTCTCAAACCATGACGACCTTGCTAAAAAGGGTTAAGCTTTTTTGTTCAATCATAGTTCTGAGCGCGGCCTTCTCGGTGACATAAAAATTAAAAAAAAAAATCGGATAGAAAATAAGAAAGTTGAAGCAAAAAACGCGATTTGGCGGTTTTTAGCAAATGCATAAAAAAATGTACGCCCAAAATTTTTTCTCGATATAAGTATTCAAATAAAACTGACTACGCCAAACTTTTTTCGTGATATGCCTTAATGTGTATACATATTTACTTATGTACTACCTAAAAGAATAATTTTAATGTGCGCAGAATGACTGTGCATGCGCGCACCTATGTAAATAATTATTTAGCATTACAAATTTTAGCACAATTGAATTTAAGAACTAACATCAGTTACCCGCATGAGCTTAACGTTAATATCTACATACACACATACATACATATGCACTTATTTAAAATCCAATCACGTGTTACTGACTGAAGAGCACTACAAGTATTTGATAGTATGAAAAACGAATGGGCGTGGGAATGTTTTCATTTGGTTTACGGAATGAGGTGAAGAGAGGTTTATGAAGAACCGAATTTGTATGTACATTAGGGCACATCACCATCCATCCATACAAAAAAAAAGCGGTACCGTTTTTCCATCGGAATTATAAAATTTATTATATTTTAAGACTTCCGCCGAAATATTACGGGAAAATAAAAGATTTACGTGAGCTGGACCCATTTGAAAATACCTTAAAAAATCGAGTTTTTATAAATAAGTATTTTTTCTAAAAAATTACCTCAGATCATAGAGGAGCTTTAGCTTGAAAAGTCTCCATACCAAATTTTTTTTTTAACTTTATCAACGTAATCCAAATAAAGAGATTTTTGGAAGTATTTTCAAAAGGGTGCGGCGGAAGTCTTAAAATATAACGAATTTTATGATTCTGGTGGAAAACCGTTACCTTTTTTTGTATTGTACCCTTTTGTATGTATGTATGTATGTACATATTGCTAGTACCTCCAAAAAATTTTTTGTATTATGTGGAATCAAAAGAGATATTTTATACTCCAACGGAACCGCTTTTTGTCGGCTCTCCTTGCTAATTCACAAATATTTTTGAATACATTGAGAACTAAAACAGTTAAAACTCTTAACAGCGGCCTAATATTTTCAAGGTGTGTACAGTAGGGTATCCGAGAACTTAAGAGTGAATTTTTCTGCAAAATAACCTCTTACTTTTGTCTTTTTGGTTTACATATACGTACATATAAAATATCTTATGGCTGTGGGATGACGGCAACCTGTTTCGAGTTGAAGTTGAATTTTTGGTTATGAAATTACCACACTGTGTGTACTTATTTATATAAGTAAAGCTGTCGCATTGCTACTCGATCCATTTGCACTGTATTTGCAGGTTCCGATGCTGACCCATCTCTCTCTCTCTCTCTCTATCTCTCTCTGTCAAGTTATTTCATTAACCACTGTCTTGTCTAGCGCCAAATATCTACCTACAGTCTAGCTTTACGTTCCCCTGTAAACAGCCGGTCCCTTTTGCGAAATGAGGGTAATCACTTGTACCGCTACCGATGCGGTTCGGATCTACCTTCTTTGATGTGAGGGGATCCTGCCCTCATTCATCTATATATGACGCCAATGATTCATTCTTTAGATCACTATAACTCTGTGTTTCATACCGTTTGTCGATGCTTTTCCATACAATTGAAGGTCAAAATCTAGACTCTTGAACCTTTACAAATCCTTTCTGATTCTCGCTAATCGGCGGGGTAGACAGGAAAGGATTAAGAGAAATTTATAACCAAATTCGTGATATTGTATTTTAATTTAGTTATAATTACTGTCAGCAAAATATCTTGTAGTTAACAAATCTCTAATTTTATTTCATTCTAATCTATCTTTTCAGGGTCTCGGACACATCAGCGGTTGCCACATCAATCCGGCCGTCACAATTGGCTTCCTCATTGTCGGTGAAATGAGCATTCTGAAGAGTATTTTCTACATAATTGTGCAATTGGTTGGAGGCATTGCTGGCGCAGCGTTTATATACGTAAGTATCAGTGAACACTCTACAACTTAATTCTATAAAAGCAAAGCATCCATAATTTTCCCATCTCACGCTTCTCAGGCTTCAGTAACCGCTGATATCGCCGGCACAAACTTGGGTGTTTCTGCGCCAGCAACCGGACTTGGTAGCGGACAAATAGTACTAATTGAGGCTTTGATCACCTTCATATTGGTATTCGTTGTCAAAGCTGTCTCCGATCCAGGCCGTTCGGACATCAAAGGTTCGGCGCCACTTGCCATTGGACTCTCCATTACAGCCGGTCACTTGTGTGCTGTAAGTAGGCAATTAGTAGGCGAAAAGAAGTACAGAAACAAATATTTTTAAATTTCAATATTTGCAGGTTAAATTGACTGGCTCCAGCATGAACCCAGCGCGTTCCTTTGGACCGGCTGTCGTTCAAAACGAATGGACGGATCACTGGGCCTACTGGGTTGGACCCATACTTGGTGGCATTATTGCGGCAATCTTTTACAAACTTTTCTTTAAGGTGCGCAAGGGCGATGATGAGGATCAATCGTATGATTTCTAAATAATAAAAAAACAACGCTAAACCAAGAATATCTATAGCAACAATAAGCAGAGATGTGAAACAAAAACCGCTTGCGCACGCACCAAACCCACAGCCACAGCCAACCCAACGCACATTCGCGGCGCGCATATGCATGCCAAAAAAAATATATGTTTTTGATTTTTGTTTACCGTTACTACACGCCTTAGTACATGTGTACCTACGTCTATTATTTATGCGCTGTATAAGCTTTGCGCTTCTCATGCAGTTACATACATACATACAAATATTATGTATGCGTGCATACGTTTTACGTTATTAATTTTAATTGGAAATGAAAATGTTGCGTATACGTCGCCAAATGGTATTATATGTACGTCCTCCATATGTTATAATTTTAATTAGTTATATAAGCACCGCATATCCGCATACACACACACATCCATACATCACCTCATCCCTTCTCCCTTAACTCATGTCGAATCGCTCTCATAACCGCCGCCCAAAGATGCCACAATCAGCAAGTATGCATTATACGAATAAAAGGAAAAAAAAAAGAAAATTAGTGTAAATGTTTGCAAAGAACTTTTTGAGATTTTTCAACAGACGAAGCCAGAGCCGCCTTACACCAGCAAAGTTTTTGATTACCACCTTCAGCAGCTTACAATTTTATGCATTTTATCAATACTTTCACACAATTGTACATAAATATTAAATAGTTTCATATTCAGCAGCACAAAAGAAATAGCTTTTCTTGTTTATAGCGCAGTTTTCTAAGCAGATAGCTTTTGAAAATATTTAAGCTTTTTGTGTGCCAACCACCAACCAAACACTCTTTGAAGACGTCTCGAAATTACAATTTTTGAAATATATTTACAAGTATTTTTATAGCAAATATTTATCAACATATCACTGATGCTAATTAACTGTATTATGATATTAACTTAAACTTTTTACATACATACATACATGCCTTCATACAAATGTATACTTACAAAAAAAATACGATTTATTTGTAATTTTAGCGTGTAAGCGAGGATTAACAAAAATGCCGCAGAGAAATGAATTAAACAGTTCAACAGTTGTTTGCAACAATTTGCCTTAAAAATTAAACAACAACTATGTAATTATGATGTGCATACATTTACTTTAATTTTTATTTATGTATATTACACAATTTATGTGCGTGTTGCTACGTCGTAAATGTTCTTATCTTAAAATAAATACATACATTAAAAAAAAAAAAATCGTGGTTTAATTATTGCTAAATTCTTTTGAATCTACATTAGGGCGTCGCAGAGCAAAAGGGTTGCCTTTGCGTAGCTTAATTATGGAAACTCTTTTCCCCTCAATTATGGCGAAGAAATTGTAGGGAAAAAGATGACAGAAAATGCAAACAATTCCACGTTTTCACACACTCACTAGCGAAATACAAAATTTTGATAATCACACCTAAAGCTCGCTACGCAGTTCAATGCGAGCGTGAACGTGAGTGAACATTAACAGAGGCAAAGAATTCCATTCGTATTTTTTTGCACGTTAAAACACATCTGTCAAAACTTGTCATTCACATGCGAACGCTTTGCGTACGCACACAGTTGAGTTTGAGCTTGTAAAATATGCCTATTATACATTCTAAATTACTTTTGATTCTATAATTCTGAAAGATATTTTAATTCTCTAACTTTTGATATACCAACTATTGCAAAAGGTGAAGTAATGACGAAGTTATTAGTCAAAATAAAAAGTTCACGTTCAGCTTAATGAAGCAACACCGCCTTACATGAATACATTGAACAGGTAGTATAAGTAGAGCAGCTGATTTAATTTTTTTTTTAATTATTTTGTCTCAAAAATGTCAAATATTTCAAATTTTTTCGCGCAAAAATTCTAAATTTTCAAAATCTATTTGCATATGAAACCCTTTTCCATGCAAAACAAGCGATTCAATAGCAGCTTTTGGAACGCTCGCCCAACTCAGCAGCACAAACGCTGATTGCTGGCCCTTGCTAAGGATGGATCAGTGATTCGAGAAGCAAACAAATTTACTAAGAAAGTTGCAACAATTTTTATTTTTTCCAAATTTCAATATTTTTTTCTTTTTTTGTATTTCACATGGCACGCTTTGATTTAGACGAAAAAAATGAGAACAGTTTTTGACACCTTCGATACCGGAAGCAACAATAAAATACACGAAAATGTCGTTTTTGTTCTAATGCTACTATCTGTTTGATATTCCTTGGTCGGACCCGATTTTTGAATCTATATTTTTTTGTATTAAAATTTTTGTTAAAAATGGCCTTATTCATAAAAAATATAATAGATAGGTGAAATTTTCATGCAATTTTTAGATTTCTAAAGCAGTTGAATACCGCATTAAATTTTAGTATAATAAATAGCCAATTTCAAGTGTCTAAGAATTCGCCTTGATAATAATTTTGTTTGCCGACGGTGCTAGGCATTTTCCATTATCTTCAAAATTCCTACCTTCTCTGCACTCTGCGCTAAAAATTTCAATACAGTACGTTTATTTACTTGGGCACAGCGGTATTTTGGTGTCCGCTACTGTAAATTTTCGTCTTCGAGAAGCAAAACTACCTGCATTATAGTTCGATCCGTTTATTCTGGCTTGGTCACTTTCCATTTGTATGTATGTAGGTATGCCTGGGTTAAACTCTAGGAGCATCTTTAAGATTTTCGTTGCTTTTGAGGGCGTTACCGGTACCCACGCTCGCCGTCTGTTGTTAGAAGGTCTCTGGGGTTTGAATACCTTTCAGACGAGCTCTTATTTATTTCATGGATTAAAATCTCCTACAACTACAATATGCCCCCGCACATGGATTGTTTTGCTTGTTTGGCAATGGGGATTGGATGTGTTTCCATGAAGGCCTACGGACTCGTCTACAACTGCTTTCATTTCATGAATTGTAATTAAAATACATACATGAAGTGGTGCTTATTGGCAAATCTCACGAGGTGTTACATGTTTCGACAAAACTTGTTTTTGGTCGAAAATGGTGGTTCACCTATCTTAGAAAATGCATTATCTTCAGTTTTGTATAAAGAAAAAGATTCCATCGCGAAATTATATTTAAATGAAATCTTAAAAAATATATACCAAAAAAAGTAAAAATAACCCCTCATGCTCATATACCCGTAGTTGCGTATATAACGTATACGCCCCGTAGCACCATATGCAGACCATTAACATGTTTACTCGCACGCCTTAATTTAAAAGTAATTAAATAAGTAATATATTATTTTGTTCATATACATATACATGCATATGTATGTATGTACAACAATTTTAAAATGAATTTCGAGTGCAGCAGTAAAAATTAAAAAAAAATGGAATTTTAGTTTTTCAAATCATAGTCATCTTTTACTCAATGAAGTCCTTTTCATTTGTTAAGACACTCGTTTAATTGCACTAGACTCGTTCGTTTGTGAGAGAAGAACAATTACGTCGTTTAATTTTTACATTTTGAAGTGACTTAAATTATTCAAATTAAAAAAAATCGTGAAACTTCAAAAATTACAAAATAGATGCGACAGATATTCGCATGCTGCCATTTTTTTTTTTGTTTAAAAACTTCCCAATCTTATTTAAAAAAAAACAATTAGGATTTTTTCGAGTGACAATGAAAAAATTTTTAATTTGATTATATTTTTATTGTACTTGTTTCTGGAAGACCATTTATTGAAATAAATGCAGGAAGAATGCTTTAGCGTTTTTTTTTTCTGCCGAAAGAAGTGAGTGACACTAAAAAAAAAAACAACTCGTGAGATTTGCTCTTATGCGGGCATTTTTAACTACGTTTGAAAACGATGCTCTGGTGAGGTCCATGGGTCTATCGGAGTTCATCAAGCCAGGCTTGTGTCCATGCGCAGCCATCTTAACAGACGTTGTTCGCTTGGTGGTGAACTAACTCCTTGAGCGTTCAGCGCTTGCACTGAATGTCTCCGGGTACATTCCACATTTGTGAAGCGAACTTGTCTTTAGACTTTTTCGATCTTTTTTGAAGAGCGCTTTTCATTTTAAATCTTCACTTGTTACCAGAAGTGGTGGAAAAAGAGGTTCGTTCGCCCGGCAGAGATCTGCTGTAATCAGGTGAGACCGAGCTTCTTCTTTATTGGCGCTCTAACCGCCTAAGCGGTTTTGGACGACTCCAAAAGAGCACGCCAGTCCCTGCCAACTGACGCCAATTCGAAAGGCCAAGTGAAGCCAAGTCCTGCTCCTCCTGGAAAAATTACTGTTCATGAGCTTATAGGCAGCAAGCGAAGGCTTAATTCATTCAGGCCACGATTCAATCCTGCATTCGCGCGGAAGTGGAATGGATGTACCCCTCTTGCGAGCTTGTCATTGATCGCGTTGCCTGCTAAGTAGATATGGACACACATAAATAGATATGTAACTAGGCCTGCGAGAGTGAGCTATGGTTATGGAGTTACATGTGATGATAGTGAGTGCTCTTAGAGCCGCCTGCAGGGGAATTCAGATGTTGATACTTGTTACTCCTCTTGATCACACGTGTTCAACATGAACCAACTAACAAGATCACGCAATCGGAAAAGAATGAAAAAAAGTAAATCTCTGAGCGTTTTTGACATCTGCCTAAGAATGAAAACAAACAAAGAAAACAAAAACGGCGCGGGGATTGAACGCGATTATATTGGTATTTATTATGAAAGTAGCTGGCCCGGCATACTTCGTCCCACCCAACATAGATTTTTATATTGAAACAATTTGTTCCAACATTTTCACCAACAGTTTACGTTCATGATTTTCAGTGAAGCATTTATCTTCTAATATTACGGTTTGGTGGTTGTCAGAAGGCATATTTCCATAGCCGTCTTAAATAACCTAGCAAAAGTGTACATGCATACAAAGATACGTAAAAGTTTCAGTGCGTTTCAAAGGCGCCATGCCGCCTTTTCAAATAGGCCCAATTTTCTCTAAGAGTATGGGATTGATTTCGTATATCTCCATACCATATTCGAGTAATTTACCATGAACACTTCCAGTGATATGCAATATGAAAAATTCGATTTGTATGGGAGGTGCCACGCCCCCTGCACCTAGCGGTATGAATTATACTTTACATCCGTTTCTCTTACCTACTATATATACACAAAAAATTTCATAAAGATCGGTCGAACCGTTTAGGAGGAGTTCGAGCACTAACACCATGACACGAGATTTTTATATATTAGAAGATGTAAAAAGTGAAACTTGATGGAAATTAGCAACAGAAAGTTCATAAAGTATGGTTTTCATGATTGAAAGAGTTTTACAATCGCATATAATCAGCACGGTTCGATTTTTCTAAGCCAACGTTCTGGCACACACTTCTCACAAAAATTTAGGCCTTTTGGCAGACCAAGCAAACGCATAAACTTATTCTAATCAGAAAGCACTTTATTTTATATCATAAATTTGTAATAAAACAAAATTAAAATTAAAATCCCACATAAAACCATATATGTAATACTTCTATATTGGCAGTAAGCTAACTTGTCAATGTGTAAGCATTCCGATATCAAAGCGAGACAGTCTAGTACCGTTTTTGTCAATGTATTGTGTACTTGAGTGCCGTTTTTGTATATGTGTTGTGTACATGTTTATTTATAAACGTATGTGTTCCTTTTCTTTCGTTCGTGTTTATTGATATATCTGTACTGTAGTGTTTTCGGACGGTACTAGCTCTTACTGCCAATAAAGGAGTATTACATATGGGTGTTTCCAGCGGAAGGCCCACCACGACAAAAAAAAATAAAAGTTTTATATCTAACGTATTTACGGGCCGATTTGTCTGCTTTTTAAAGTATATACTGGCTATGTAAGTAGAATCATGTTTGCATAAAATGGTCTTCGTAGGTGGTGCCAAGGTCGAGATATTTCGAAAAACCGTATTTATGGTCCGATTTGGTTCGAATTTGGCGTATGTGGTTGAAACATAATAAATCATAGATTTCTAATAAATTGACCCTGAATTGGCGCTGAAGTCAAAATATAAAGTATATTCTACATAAAATACATGTTTTATTTGCGTTGAAAATTCATTTAAAAGCCATATGAACAAAAAAATATAACGATGGAAATTTATGTCACGTCACGCCACGTCACGTCACGTTTCACACTTGGGGTTGTAAAAGAGAATTGAAACAATTTGCATTAATTCAAAAAACTCTAAAAACAACTAGAATTGCTCCAAATCATATTAAA